TAAAAAAAAAAAAAAGAATCCATGCATAGGGTGTAAAGCACAAGGCATGAACTAGACAGAGTAGAGCCAAGAGCTGCAAGAAAGGGAGGAAGAAAGTTCTGTCTCCGAGAGTACAGAGGTGGTGCTGACTAGACAGGGGAAATGAGAAGGGCAAGAGGTCAGTGACCTCAGGGTCTGTTGAAGCAGGGATGAGACAGAAATAGGTTCTAGAAATTTCTTTAGGCTCGGTGAGCAGCACCCCATCTGTGCCCCAGCCCCCACCTGATGTTGTCGATCCAGCAGTCAATGATGACAGGTAGCAGCAGCTCGAGGTTCAGCCAGAGGGTGAAGTAGCTGTCAGTCCTCTTGGAGCAGAGGTAGTGTACGACCGTTGGCTTGTCCAGCTTTGCCTCCAGCTGGTTGCCCAAATCACCAGGCACTGCAGGGGGACACAGAACAGTCATGAGGCCCTGGACCGGCAGGCTGGAGATCCTTGAGACTTGAACCCAAAGGCCTCCTACTATAGCTGTCTCAGGCTACAGAGTAGGCCCTTGTTTATTCAAAGGAATGGCAAACAGGACAAAGCACTGGGCCACTTAACTAGCCAAAACTGAATCCAGAGAAGGCACTCTAGGACAGGCTTGTGGACAGGGGTGGCAATGAACAGAAACACAGTTGAGAGAAGTTCATAATGGTACCTGCCAACCTCTTGAGAGCCCAGTAATCTTCCAGAGGGCAGATCATCTGGAGGGCCCTAGGCTCTCAGCACACCTGGACCCTGTGTCAGAGATGGCTACCCTGAAACAACACAACAGTCCAGCCACAGCCAGGTAGGGGAGGGTGTGACAAGGCCCAAGGATAACTTCTCTCTGCCCACGCCAGTCTAGTCAGTCTATACACACAGAGCCCTCAGGCCCTTGTGACACTCAAACCCATCCCCATGGCTTCATCACCCAACATTCAAGGCCCTTCCCAGAATATTGTTCCCATTGACCTTTCAGGCCTCACTTGGTTCTACATGCCATGCTCTTGCATCTTCCAAGCATATCACCATTTAGGATCCATGATCACTGAGTGAACCATCAGCTCTTGGCTCTCCTGGGCATTCTTTGGGTTCTACAAACCTATCCCTGCACAGGGCATGCCCTCCCTTTGCATCATCTCACAGTGTCCTCAGGACAACCATGAGATGCAGTTCACCTCCCTTAACCTCCAGTTCACCTGCGTTCACCTCCCTTAACAACACAGATGCAGAAATGGGGAGTCCTCAGCATGACAGTGCAGAGACCTTGGTCACTGTCTCCAGCAAAGAGGAAATGGCTAAAGGAGGAAGTCACCAGATTTGCTGTGCCTGAATGCTCTTTGTCCTGGATAGGCTGTGTGGCCTCTAAAAATAGCAGTGGTCATTTCCTAAGCCCCTTTTTGCCTAAAACTAGGACAAAAGACATCCATATAACTTTCACCTCAAATAACGCTGGGAGAGAACATCCTTACTATGCTCACTTTACAGATGAGGAGACTGAGGTTGGGGTAGATATGACTTGTTACAGTCCTCCACCAGCCCAAAGTCTTCTGTATCACTTCTTTGGTCTCTACCACCAATTTGGGTCTCACTCATAGAAGGTGGTCACCCTTGGAGGCTGATCCTCTGATGGTCCCTGCTGTGTGTCCAGGAACAGCTCCTCCACTGCCCACCATGGGGTTTCCCAGGATTAATGCCAACAGCTTCATTCTCTGAGAAGCTGGGCAGATTAGGATTCTGTGACTCTGGCTGTGGCGTAAGGCTCCTCTGCTGTGACCTAGGATAAGCAAGAACTGAACTGAATGAATTGAGTATAGTTAGCATCAACCCAAGCAAAAAGGCTGCCACACATCAGGGACTCCATCAGGGACCACACATTTCCCGATGTCACACCGTTCATACTCAGAACTCCTTAGGCCTACCCATGACTTCTTGTGTGCTTACAGGATAAAGTCTAGATGAGCCAACCAGTCACAAGCCCTGCACAATTCACTCCTCCCCTAACTCCATTCCAGACATCCTGGATTGCTTACCTCTCTCCCTCTGAGATGTAATTTCCTCTGCCTGGAACTCTCTCCTGGCCTCACCTATAGCCACATTCTCCAGGCAGCCTTCCCTAACTGGATTGGTAGACTCTTTGTGCTTACCCAATACAGACCTCATCTCTAGGGATCCCTGTAAACTTAGGGAACACAGGGCCTAGTCTGCCCAAATCCCATGGTGAACCTGAACCCAGCATCCCCCTGGAGTATTTCCTGGCCTAGAACTCCTGGTGGGAACCCCCAGGGACCACATTGTCAGCCAACCCTACCCTTCTGTGATCTGCATCACCCCCATTAAAATACCCCCATCAGAAAGAACATGGGGGTCATGCTGCAGCACACTCAGTATGTGACATATACCTCAGCATGTCTCTGCCCTTATGAATCCTAGCTGGCCACCAACTCAATGCTTGAATGAGGCATCCAAGGCCCCCAAGACAGAGAAATCTCATCTCTGCCCACCACCACAAGGAAACACGGTGGTTCCTGTATAATTACAGGGGCCAGGGCCAAGGGGTTGGCCAGGAAGGTCATCTAGACCCAACATAGCCCAGTCCAAATTGGTCTGGAAAGGGTAAGATGCTCCCTGACATCTGTTCATAGCCATTGTCCCAACCCTTACCTCTGTCTTTAGCCATCCTCAGATTCCCTTAGGCTTCCTCCCTCAGGCCAATGCCACCCATTTGGTAAGTTGGGGAGGGGGGTGTCTTGGTGGCAGGATAGGAGAGTCATTCTTTCCCCCAAAAGCTTCCTTTCAATAATGCCTCCTGAAACACATGGGGCTGGAAGAGTCAGCCTCCTAGTCATGCCCAAATCAACAATTGAGGACCCTGGAGACCAACTCCGAGAACACCCTATCCCCCCGCCGACCCTCAGGAGTGGGGCCAAAGGATCTCGGTCTCTCCAGCTAAAAAATGGACATAAAGCGAGGCAAAGCTTGGGACTGACGTAGATAGCAATACTGATAGACAAGAGAACAGCAGCCCTCCCATTTACCCCATATTCTACAGGGGAAGGTGAAGAGAGGTTGACCACACCCGCGCCCAGCATGGCGAGAGGTGGACGGACCGAACCAGGTGACAAGACAGACAGTCATATGCTCCCCCACCCCACGCTTAGAGCACAGCAGATCTGGAAGACGGCTCCGCCCGCACCCCGTCCTGCCGGATGCACGAGCAAACGGACCCACGACTGTACGCGCGCCTCACCCAGCACCACAGGAGGGGGACGTCCGACTGGGAGCGCCGGGTCTACGAGCAGCAGGAGGAACAGGAGGCCACCCAGGAGCAGCGCCGCAGAGTAGGGACAGAGGCGAAGACCCATTGCGTGCCACGGCCGGTACAGGTCCAAGGTGCGGATTCAGCACCCTGGGGGGGCGCCTAGGCCGGGGCGGCGGCGACAAGCTTAACCCCCCCGCCCGCAGTAGACCACAGCCGCCGGGCCAATCAGGATCCATCTTCCCCAAACGGCCTGCCAATAGGAACTCGCCGCCAGACACGTCCCTCCCGTTTGGAGCTCGCTGCCTCGCCCCTGCGGATCCCCTGCCAGCTCCTTGGACCTTGCTGCGCGCCGAGCGCATCGATCGATCCGGGCTCAGCCTGGCTTCTCTGCCCTGAGTCCCCGACCGGTCGCACCCAACTCGCCGCTGCTGGAGACCCAGCACAGCTTTGAGTGTCCACAATTCACGCTGCGCAGCCCGATTCCTGGTGCGTCCCTGCTTTGGGATCTGGAACGGGCTGGGCCGAGGGAGGATTCAGGGTCCAGTGCTTGCAGCTGCTGAGAAACCCTGGTCAGAGCAAGAAGAAGGGGAGAAGTGAGTCTCGGAAAGTTCTTGGGCCTTAGGGGAGCGGGAGCTGACCAGGACCTTTGTGCAAACCCTACACCGATTCTATACACCCTGTTCCGATGTCACCTGGGTTCAGGCAACGGGTTCAGGGACCCCCCCTATGTCTGTCCAGGGTGTAGGAATAGGGGCAGGACAGGTCGAGGCTAGGTCAATGTGTTTGGTTTCCGAGTGAGAGGGTTCCCCTCCTGTTTTAGTTGCGCGCAGTATGGAGCCACAACATCAGACTGAGCGGTACTCGCGCCCAGTTGAAAGTGGGTTTGAACCTCAACCTTGCACCATGGCCCATCAGCAAATTTCCCAGCAGAGCAGGGCAGGGACTTCGGAGTCCACCTCCCATCCCAGGCAAACTGGGGATCCAGAGAGGGCAGAGGCTTCCTGCTAGAGGAATCAGAGGTGAACAAAGTGGGTAGATCCGAGGGCTGGCAATACGGCCAGCACCATGGGTCACCCTATGATAGGGAGACCAGCATGTTTGGAAACTGGAAGTCTTGATCCTCCACACACCTCCTCCTGAGGGTTAGACAACACCCTGATCATCCCCTGGCTGGTCTCAAGACCTCTAGCCCACCCATTCCTTCCTTCCTTCCTTCCTCTTGGTCAATGGCAACACTTTCTAGCCTTTCAGAGTGCTGCTAGTAGTCACCATTTTGGCCTGCCCTTCTGTGTTCTTATAACATTGGTGGTTGGAGTACCTTACTTTTTTTTTTTTTAAGTTTTTAATTTATTTTTGAGAGAGAGATTGCACAAGTTGGACAGAGGGAGAAAAAGGGGAACAGAGGATCTGCAGCAGGCTCTGCGCTGACAGCAGTGAGCCCAATGTGGGGCTTGAACTCACAAACTGCGAAATCATAACCTGAGCTGAAGTCGGTGAACGGTGAAATCATGACCTGAAGCGAAGGCGGATGCTCAATCAGCTAAGCCACCCAGGTGGCCCTAGAGTAGCTTACTCTTTTAAGGTCCACCTATCTCCCACCTCAGGGATGGACCCTCCCTCCATCCTAGAACCCAGAAGAGGGGTTGCCAAGGACCAATCTGTTGCAGGCCCACGGTGGGAGACCATAGAGATCATTTTGTCAGTACTAGGGACAGGCAAGAGTCCACGGCCAAGAGTTAAGTGAAGGGAGGGTAGGCATCAGGATGGCCTGGGTTGCTTTGGACTTTGGATAGTCTGAATGTCTTGTCAAACCAGCAGCCTCAGGTGACCATGGACCCTTCACAGGGTGGCCCTGTCCTCTGGAGCAGTTCCGTGGCACCCCAGTCCCACAGGCCTTGCAGATGATAGGAACCATGGTCATCGGGGAGAGGATGTTAAGGCCTAGTCACAATGATCTGTGCTGGCACTGTGGAGAGGAGAGGAGTCAGAAGGTAAGGGTCTCCCTTTCTCACAATGACCCTGTCATCCACATGAACCTCCTGGCTGCAGAGCTGGGTTCATCCTGGACTCTAGATACTTCCCTGATTCTCAGACCCACAACCAGGTGGTCACCAAGTCTTGCCAGCTCTACCTTCCCAATGCCAAACTTTCACCCCCAAAGTCACCTCCTTGCTGATATCCCAATTTATGCCCTTATTCCTATGGATTTCTCTCCCTGTGTCAGGTTGTCATCATTAAACATTAAATCAGGTCCATCACTGTCTGCCTAACCCCACACATAATCCTCCTACTGCATGCATCATATGCATCTCAGTCATAATGAGTGAGGACCCTGCAGGGGACTCTGACCTTTTCCCCCAACTTCCACCTCCCCTCTCTCCCAGATCCCTCATCTCCAGCTTCAATAGCTCGTTGGATCTATTCATCCTTGCATAAGACAACTGAAAAATCCCTCAAGTTACCAATAGTTATTTGGGTAAAGATTTTTTTTTTATGGCTTCAAAGGTTTGTTTTTTGCCTTACTGATACAGTATAAAAGGGGAAAGAATTCAGAAACTATTTCCTAAAGTAGATGAATGATACAAATGTTAGTGTGATGCTGTACACTTCAGTTTTATACAGCAAACTGTTCCAACTGTCAGCTTATGGGTGAGCTAGCAAGAAACATTACATGAATTAATTTTAAGATGTAAGCATATTTACATACTTGCTTATTTAGTTTTGAAAATCTAGTGTTCTTTACCCCATGGCAGTCAAGACTGGGGCTTAATGCAAGATGTTTCAGCATGCTTCGCCATTTGCTTTTATGCATATGACAATAAATGCAGTTTTGAAAAAAAAAATAACCTCATTCTCCCTCAGGACTTCTGCACTTGTTGCATTGGGATCACTCTGCAGCCCCCATTTTGGGGAACTTAATTGAGCTCTGTATTTAGGTCTCAGCCCAGACATGACCATTGATTGACTCTGAAGCAGGCCCTACCTGGCTCCTATCAGAATATAATCACCGGAAGAGCAAGCCCCTCACCTGCCCATTACTGGGGCTATTGCCTTCTTTGGTTACTAGTTACCACCAGCACAGTCCCAGGCACACAGCAGGTGCTTAACATATATTTAATGAATGAGTGATACACCCCCCGCACCCCCCCCCC